CCAAGTGTGATCATAACGTGAACCATGGGCTCTGGGTCATTGTCATGTTTCAACATAGGTTCATCAGTTGTAACAGAGGAATCATTCTGAAGGGAGATATTGATGATGGGGGTGGCAATGCATTTGTAGAAGGAGGAGATATGGGAGAAATCTCTGTATTATTCTGTCACTTTCATTGTAAACCTAAAACTGTTCTAAAGAACAGACTCTTCCTTCAAAACAAAACAAAAAACTACAGGTAGCTCATAAACCACGCACGCATTCCAATTCCGACTACCAGTTCCTTACTTTCCTTCCCAGGGCTGTTACCAAGTGTGAAAAAACCAATGCAGCCTTTCTTTGATTTCAGACACTGATGAGTAATAAAAAGATAACTTTCAGCCGAAACCTGTTTGGCTCAGTGGATAGAGCATAGGCCAGCGGACTGAAAGGTCCCAGGTTCGATTCAGGTCAAGGGCACGTACCTTGGTTGTGGTCACATACCCAGTAGAAGTTGTGCAGGAGGCAGCTGATCAATATTTCTCTCTAATTGATGTTTGTAGCTCTCTATCCCTCTCCCTTCCTCTCTATAAAAAATCAATAAAATATTTTTTTAAAAGATAAATTTGAAAGAAAATGAATTCCTATGCACTCCATCAGTGGAGAACATGTTTTCTCTCCTGAGGTTGTCAGATACACTGGGAAATGGATTCAACACAAGCCGATATGTACCTACTTTAAAATATATATATATTATTGATTTTTTAACAAAGAGGAAGAGAGAGGGATAGAGAGCTAGAAATATGGATGAGAGAGAATCAATGATCAGCTGCCTCCTGCACACCGCCTACTGGGGATGTGCCTACAACCAAGGTTCATGCCCTTGACAGGAATCAAACCTAGGACCCTTCAGTCTGCAGGCTGATGCTCTGTCCACTGAGCCAACAGGCTGATGCTCTATCCACTGAGCCAAACCGGTTTTGGCTGTACCTACTTTAGGAAGAAACATTTCCCTTCTAAACACCTTGATGGCGGGCAGCTGATGTTTCTCAACGTCAACAAAATCCACTCAACAAATGTGTGCGGAGTGCCGCATGCACAATCCCGCAAGCTCTGTGCTGCAGGCATTCCCAATGTGAGTTCCCGCCAAAGAGCTTCACATGTTAGCTATGCAGAAAGAATTCCTAGTTCTGCTATGTTGCAATCATGGCTGTTTGGAGAACAGTTAAATGAAATACACAGAATGATTACAAAAGAAAAGAGCAACTGTGCATCCTTATGAGAAAGCAAGCTGCTTCCAAAAGAGGACTCTATGATTTCCTCCCGTGTGCGTGAAGAGCTGTTATTTTGCTACCAAGAGGCAAAAGGAAGGTGGGGCTGAGGAAAGATAAAAGTCTGTCTGGGGTCCTTGAGAAACTTCTCAGAGCTGTTTCAGCATCCTTGCCTCAGTTGCAAGCACTCACCTAATTTTAGAAATAGGTGACTACAACATCACTGGACAGCTGCAGTGTCTGATGGCCACAACCCCATCAATCCAGCTCACGCTGGGTGAGGTTCATTTAATTTCAATTAGCATTTATTGAGTTCCTATCATGTCCTGAGCTGAGCTCCGGATGGAGAGACTGGGAGATAAACAAGCTTACTTTTGAGGAGCTACAACAAGAGCTTGATAACTACACATCACATATGTATAGCTAACCCAGGTTGCGGGCTCAATCCCCAGTGGGGGGTGTGCAGGAGGCAGTCGATCATTGATTCTCTCTCATCATGGATGTTTCTATCTCAATCCCTTCCTCTCTGAAATCAATAAATAATATTTTCTTCTTCTTTTTTAATCCTCACCAGAGGATATTTTTTTCCATTGTTTTTTAGAGAGAGTCGAAGGGAGAGGGAGAGACAGAGAAAAACACCAATGTGAGAGAGACACATCTTTTAAAAAATATATATTTTCATTGATTTCAGAGAGGGAGGGAGGAAGAGAGGGAGAGGGAAGGAGAGAGAGAGAAAGAGAAACAAGAAACATTAATGATGAGACAGAATCACTGATCCACTGCCTCCTTCACGCCCCCTACTGGGGGATCGAGCCCACAACCAGGATATGTGCCCTGATCAGAAATTGAACCTTGACCTCCTTCCTGGTTCATAGGTTTAACACTCAGCCACTGAGTCACGCCGGTCCGGCTAGACACACATTTTCAAATATTTTCATTATGTTCTCCGAAACTCCTCCCCATGGCTCATAGACATTGAGCACTGCCTGCAGCCCTGGCAGGGTGAGCTGTCCTCTCTCCCAAGCTCCAGGTCACTCCTTTCTCTCCCCCTGAGATATCCTTACATCAATTGGAAAAGCCACTTTCCTTGGGCTCGCATTTCCACAGCCAGCTCAAAGCTTCCTGAAGCCTGATCATCCCTAGCAATAGCACAGAGCCTGAGAGAAATGCCCACACACCATGGCTTCCACCATTAAAACACCTGCCTTTGCCACCCAAACTCCCTTTTGGGAGAAGAGAGTACGTAGGAGTATCTATTAAATCTTCACTTGAACTGTGAATGAACATCTCTCTCTCTCGGTATGCGTACAGGAAACTCTACTGTATAATTCTACTTGGTGCTGAGCAAAAAAAAAAAAAAAATCAATACCATATAATAAACACACTTACAACAATGATGTCTTCTATTAGAAAATACACTTTAAGTTCTTGTTTATATCATCGGAATTGATTTCTGGGGAGGGAAAAAATCCATTTCTCCTCAGCAACCTCACCCTGAATATCTCTAACAATAGCCTACCTTACAATACTTTTAAATTAACTAAAACATCGTTCATGCCAGCTGCATTTTAATCTATGCAGCATAACTGCTATTTATACATGTGCTTACTCAGTATAACTTAAGTCCTACAGTCAGAAGTAAACTAACTATAAATGTGTCATTTACATGTACAGAACTCCTTTTCCCTAAAATCATCCACTAGCAATATTGAAGATGGGCAGTATTGTTTGCGTAAGCCTTAAGCTAAAGGTATTTCTATGTCACCTCTATTCTCTCCTGTACATCATCACAAAATATATATTTTCGGGCTAGTTTTACCTAGCATTCCCAGTCTGTGAAGGCCTAACTTTTAAATTAATCGATCAAAACAACTACACATGTTAATTTTAATCTCATAAAGCAAGAAAATATATTTAAAGACTGTTTTTACCATAATAACGAATTGTCACGGTTGAAATAAGTAGAAATGTTATCTGTATTTTATTCTGCTCTTGTGAACTTCACCCAGGATCCACCCACATGCTCTGCCAACCCTCCGGTCTGTTTGCTTTGTAGTGGCTCGTGGCCAACACAGTACGTATTGACCTAAATTGCCAGTGAAATATGGCCAGAAGTCTATTGTTTTGGAAGCCACAATCACTTTCTCTCTTTCTTTTGAAAAAAAGTTATTTAAAAAAAAAGACTCATTCTCCCTTTCTCTCAGCTTGAATAAAGTTAACCTAAATATAGTCACAAAGGACTTTAGTGAACATATGAGGCTCATCCATGAATTCTAGAATATGGTGTATCTTGACTTCTAGAAAGTTATAACCAAACACCTGCACCTTATTTTAATAGCATTGGGGAAAATACTGCTTAAAGAAGACTTTTTAAAAAATATATATTTCATTGATTTTTTCACAGAGAAGAAGGAAGAGAGGCAGAGAGGCAGAAACATCGATCAGCTGCCTCCTGCACACCCCTCACTGGGGATGTGCCCGCAACAAAGGTACAGGTCCCTGACCAGAATCGAACCTTGGACCCTCCAGTCCGCAGGCCGACGCTCTATCCACTGAGCCAAACCGGTTTTGGCTAAAGCAGACTTCTTAATGACGGTGGTGTCATTGCCCACTCTGAGTCATCCCCATCCAAGGACAATGTATTTAAAATGCATAAAATAAAATATGAAGATTTACCAAAAAAATCAATGTTATTAAAACAATATTTTTATCTATGCACAGTCTGTGAGGAGCTCATGTATCCCAGGATCAACTTACATAATAATTCAAGGGCACTTCAGTTAATATTTTGCCATGAAGCACCTTGACCCAATTATCAAGTTAAAAAATTACATCAAGACACAAACCATTTCATTTGAAATGTATTACAGACCTCATGACAAAAGGGAATATTAAAATAATTCTAGAATGCAATTCTTTAATTCAGTGGGACATGCCAATAATTAGAGGTGGGTTATCAACAATAACAAAATCCCCCTCTAATTACTGGATTGTCCCACTGAATTAAATAACATTTGATATTTTTCATTTTTAGAAAGAGTGGGACAGAGGGGGAGAGACAAAGAGCGAGAAACAATGATGTGAGAGAGACACATCGATTGGTTGCCTCCTGCATATGCCCCAACTGGGGTGAAAGATCCAGCCTGCAGCCCAAACTGGTTTGGCTCAGTGGATAGAGCATCAGCCTGCGGACTGAAAGGTCCCAGGTTCGATTTCGGTCAAGGGCATGTACCTTGGTTGCGGGCACATCCCCAGTAGGAGGTGTGCAGGGAGCAGCTGATCCATGTTTCTCTCTCATCCATGTTTCTAACTCTCTACCCTCTCTCTTCCTCTCTGTAAAAAAAAAATCAATAAAATATATTTTAAAAGAAAGAAAGAAAAAGGAAAGAAAGAAAGAAAGAAAGAAAGAAAGAAAGAAAGAAAGAAAGAAAGAAAGAAAGAAAGAAAGAAAGAAAGAAGGAAAGAAAGAAAAGAAAGGAAGGAAGGAAGGAAGGAAGGAAGGAAGGAAGGAAGGAAGGAAGGAAGGAAGGAAGGAAGGAAGGAAGGAAGAAAGAAAGGAAGGAAGAAAGAAAGGAAGGAAGATAGATAGATCCAACCTGCAAAGGAGGTATGAGGTCTTGCCCAGAATCAAACCCTTCAATCCTCAGGCCAATGCTCTGTACACTGAGCCAAACCAGCTAGGGCTAGAGCTGGTCTTTAGAGATGGGAGAAATAAGCCATGACATACACGGAGGGTGGACTCAGTCCTACCTTTATGGCAGTGGATGCAATCTGGATGTGGTGGAGTCTCCGCAGGGTGCTGTCCCTGTCAATGAAGTAGGAGGCAGCGAGCTGATGTAGCGTCTCCAGGGTGACTGAGGAGCTGTTGGTGCTGGAATCAGCTCCTTCAGATCCTCTGCTCAGCTTCCGCTTGTCCACGAAAATGGTGAGCGACTCCTCTCCTGCATTAAATGTATAGGACGTTATTCCACTTCCCACCTAAAATCCAACTTTTCCATTACCTGCAAGTGAGGAAATAATCAGACATGGTGAGACGAAAGAGTGATAAACATCAAAAGGGCAAATCATTTATTTATTTTTAAAAAATATATTTTTATTGATTTCAGAGAGAGGGAAGGAGAGGGAGAGAGAGATAGAAGCATCAATGATGAGAGAGTCATTGACCGGCCAGCTCCTGCATGCCCCCTACTGGGGATTGAGCCCTCCCTAACCTGGGAAGGTGCCCTGATCTGTAATCAAACCCAGAGCCATCCAGTAGGCAGGTTGACACTCTTATCTACTGAGCCAAACCAGCAAGAACCAGACTGGATTCCTTTTTGCAAGTACCGTGTATGCCATCATGGATGCAAATATGAATGAAGGTCCAATGTTGAGAAGAACTAAGGGTTGTTCATGAATGACTTCCATTAGCCTGGGTATCAGAGAGGCAAGTGCTTAGCTCAGTGGAAGGCATGCAAACAGGATATGCCATGATCCAGGACAAGTCTGGAGAATTGTGGCAATGCTACAACCATGGTTTTGCTTTTCTCCCCTCTCAGGAAGACAGCATGGTCCAAAGAGGAGGCACCAGAAAGGATCAAAAGGAACCCAGGTCAAAATTGATAACACCAGGAACACACAGTGCCTCTTATAGTTACAATCCACAGAGATTTTGTTAAAATATATTTTTATTGATTTCAGAGAGGAAGGGAGAGGGAGGGAGATAGAAACTGCGATGATGAGAGAGAATCATTAATCTGCTGCCTCCTGGGCATGTGCCCTTGACTGGAATTGAACTGTGATCTCCTGGTTTATATTATAGGTCGACACTCAACCATGTAGCCAAACCAGTGGTTCAATCACTGGGGCCACAGAGATTTTTTAAATTGCAATAAAGCCAACTCTTATAGGTGGGCTGTATCTTGTTATATCATTACTAACCTTGGGTTTGTCTACTGAACTATGATGTTTACCATTCCACCCAGGGGGAAATAAAAAAGTGTGTTTATGGCTGATGTCTTCCAGGTCATTCTCTTTCCTTCCACTGGAAGATCTCCCTGTGAATATCTGTTTTGCTTTTGTGCGAGTTTTGCTTATAAAGAACCGCTATTTGAGCAGAGATCTGTCATCCAGAAATAACCATTGCAAACGTAGCTTAAATCTAATTGTAGGTTTTCCTTTCAATGTGTCCTTTTAGTTTAAAAATGTTATTCTATTTTCAGTAAAGACAGATCTGATTATCCCGTGAACTGAAATCTGTGGGTTATTTTGGGTATTGCTGTCCTTTTTGAAATTATATTTCAGCTCCCACCATGTTTGTTTTGCTTTTGCAACTGATGACCATCCATTTTTGGCCTAATATGTTAAAAGCCACTCGTCCCGATAATGTCTATCTTTCTACTAAGATAATGTTATAGGAAATAAGACTGTTTTAAAAGCAAGCAGACATAATGGGGGGAAAAACAATCTTAGAAAAATAGGCTTCTGACAAGAAGCAGAACCAAATATATAAAGACGCTAAGAAACAGACATGTTGGCTTAACACCAATTGGCATCTGCGAAGGAGGGAGGGAATAGGGAGCCGTATGCAGCTTTGAGAAGGAAACATCATATGTTTTACACAACACTCTGAAGGAAAACTGACCTAATGACTATTAATAGGAATCTCCCAAATGCATCTGAAATGTTTCTAAACAAAATTGCCCACCATACCATATTCCTCTCTATGGAACAATAACATTGGGGGAGGGGGAGGAAGGGAGGAATTGGAAATAAATAATTCCAAGGGTAGATGAAATGAATCCACCCTGAGTGAAATGTAATTAAGTTACTTCTATTTTGGAGCTGTTTACCAACAAGGCTATAGTGAGCATTTCTGTTGTGTGTGGTTAGCAGATTCCTTCTCTTCTTCTGGTGAGATGAATTCTCAGAAGGGGAATTTCTGGAACACTCCGGAGCACTCTATGTTTATAGAGAAAGTCTAATCAGGGCTCCTCAAGCGTAATGTGCATATAAATCACCTGAAGGCCTTACTAATGTGTGGATTCTGATTTATGAACCCGAGATGGAATCGGAGATTCTGCGTTTGTACCAGCTCCAAGGTGATGCTGGTATGGGGAAGCATGGACCACCCTGGAGTAATGAGGCTGTAAATCACAGCACCATTTATTACCAGTTCCAACGTCTGTCTTTATCAGTGACTTGCGTGTCCCTTTAAGGGAGGTCTTGGGTGTTTGAACCGTTACAGGTAACTCAGCTCATAACTTGTCAAAGGAGCAGGCAGGAGATTTATCTACCTTAGCAAAGGTCTATGAAGAAGAATAAAAAATATATATATAGTCAACTTTATACTATTCTAAATTGAACATTTATCTTTGACTTAGTGTCCAGGACTCTTATGACTAAGATCAATGGACATAACCATTTGAACCTCATTTCCTTCATTATCTTATTATTATATCTTATTATTATTGAGCCACACAGGCCAAGCTAAATACTTAGTTTTAAACACCAGTCTTTTTTGCTCCTTTAGTGCCATTACTTTAATGATTTCATGGGATAAGAAGCTTCCGAAATTATTTCTTTTCCTTTCAGTTCTTTTCTTAAAACAGAATATGCATCCTCATGGAGGAAATAGTGTCATGCATTTTCAATAGGTCTTCATATTTGCTTAAGAAATACATTACATATATTTTTGACAGATTTGCTTCCTTAATTAGGTTAAATCTAAACTAAAATAAAGGAAATGTGTACTTCCTAACAAGAGACCAAGTGAAAATGAGAAAGACAGCCATTAGTCGATGTGGAAAGAAGACGGTATGTGACATGGAATGAAAATCTGTGGATATTTTATACAGAATGTAATTCACACAGACATAAGTGAGAATTGGGTATTTCTGAAATTAAATGAGAATATTTACATTTCTTATACTTCTCTGTAATGCAATAAAATAGAAAATAATCTAATTGCTATTCAGTCCCTGTGGCATCTTATGGGGAGAGTTAGAGAAACATTGATGTGAGAGAGACACATTGATTGGTTGGATTGGCTATCTTCAGCATGAGCCCCTACCAGGGCCAGATATTGAGTCCTCAACCTGGGCATGTGCCCTGACCTTAATCAAACCAGGGACCCTTTTTCTTTGTTGTATGTCTATATTAAGTACCCAGATATACTTTTATTTCTGTATGTGTCATATATTTATCACAATGAAATTTATTATAACAACAGGCATGAAATATATCTCTTAGCTAGGAATCAATAAATCCCAAGAGTGCAATCTTTTTCAAGATTGATCCTGCAAATTGAGGAGCTTATTTTAGATATTTAAGCAGTGATGGCATTTAGATATCATTGTAGGAAGAGAAGCAGCTGAATTTCTATATTGATAAATGGCCTGGAAGCTATAAGATGAAATAAATTGAGAAAACGATATATATATATTGAAGAAGGCTTCTTATAATTTATTTACCCCTATAGGAAAGTAATTCAATCGTTGGCTTTTATCTATCATAAAATACCCCATCCATGGCTTCAAATTTGATATCGAAAAATTTTATGTCTAAGTCAATAATACGATGTCCTAAATTACTTTATATTTATTCATATTTTCATTTCTTTCTTTTTTCAACACTCTAATACTGATTGTGTCTATTCTACACTCAACTTGTTTTAAAACATATTTGTATCTAGTTGAAAATCTTGTTGCTCAGGCAATCCCTAGTTATAAAAACAAATGTCTGTGTGTTTAAAAATGTGTGCTATACACATGACATTCGTGGTGTGTTAGCCCTGGAGTCATTTCCTAGTGTTAGTTAATAAAGGAGAGTGAGAGAGAATTAACTGAAGTTATATACCATCAATCTGAATTCTTTTTTTAAAAAAATATGGAGTAATACAATTTCATGCCCAGTCAGGTAAAACATACAAAGATAAAAATATACTTACAGCAACAAGAAAGCTTTCGTGTAATTACAACAGCAATCATTCTAAAATTGCCTGAACTCAACCTAGTACACCTGTTAATTGCAAATAGCTTATATCCTTGAGCCACTTTAATAATTTCATATATTTTAGCTAAATTATTGACATCACACAACTGACACCTGAGGAGAAATCTAACTGACAGTGAGAGGAGAGAAAGAACTCCAATAGAGCAATAGAGAATACTAGGAACACTAAATCACTGGGGACTCAGAGATTGGAAGGTGAGTGAGGGTGGGAATTCCACCCAACCCCTTTATAAAAGGACTGAGCAAGACTTTGTAAGTAACGAAGCACAGCAATTCTGAGATCGCCTCTTGCGATCCTGGGAAGAGTCAACCTGAAGAAGTGATTTAATCTCACAAGAAACCTATGAAACCAAAACTAATCTTAAAACCAACATGTGGCATCCATAATGCCAAGGCAACAAAACAAATCAAAAAGTCACCAGGATTTTGCAGCTAAACAAATAAATGTCCATGAGAATCCTCCACTATTTGATCTCTCTGTGTTCGCTCTGTCCCTTCCTTTCTTATTTGGGGAATATATTTTATGCCCTGACATTCTTCTGAGTGCCTATACTGCTGATAGTGGCAGGGAAGCCTTATATGTGTTTTTTGTTTGTTTGTTTTTGTTTTATTAATCCTCACCCTAGGGTATTTTTCTGTTGATTTTTAGAGAGAGTAGAAGAGAGAGGGAAAGACAGAGAGAAATATCCATGTGAGAGAAACACATTGATTGGTTGCCTCCTTCATGCACTCTGCCCAACCAGGGCCCCGAGCTGGAGAAAAGCCTGCAGCTGAGGTACATGCCCTTGACCAAAATTGAACCCAGGGCCCTTCAGTCCACAGGCTGACACTCTATCCACTGAGTCAAACCATCCAGGGCTATATATGTTTTGAAACCACTGGATTTTATTTTTTTTTTTTTTAATGAGACCTATGTTAATAATATTCTACTGTTACTTCAGCTTTTATTGCATCAATAATAACTGACATCATTAAGCCCAATAGACACAGCTTTCTCAGAACTGTTTCTATAATTATTGGGATACTAGTGGCCTGTTGCAGGAATAGGGTTTCCAGCTGAGGTCGCCACCCTGCCTGCTTCCCTCCCTTCTCCCCTGCCTGCTTGCTTGCTTTTCTGGCTCCTTTCTGCAGCACTTGGCTTCTTTCTCTGCTGTCTTCAACCTTTGCTCGGGCCCTGAGATGCAAATCAACTGCCATCTTGGTTGGGTTAATTTGCATACTCACCCTGATTGGCTGGTGGGCATGGCTTGTGGGCATAGCAGAGGTACGATCAATTTGCATGTTTCTCCTTTACTAGGTAGGATATTTATAACTTTCTGGCTGTCAGCACTATTACAATATCACTAACATAAACTAAGCCATACTCATCTACCTTGTCAACTCCACACAAGGCCTTTGGGAAAAAACTCCTTGAATGTGCTGAGTAAGTTAACCAGTGGATTCTAGAATTATTCAAATGGCAGCTCTCTGGATGCATCAACACTTTTCCTGGATCCATACAGGTTTACACACAAGCACACACATGGGCACAAGTATTTTCAAAGAGTCGTACCTCCCAGCGTAGCAGAGAGCAAGAAATGGGTCCCATATTTCTTGATAAGGTTTTCTGTGATTTGCTGAAGGGTAGGCCGGCGTCCCAACAGTCTGATGTTACGGAAGAACTCGGGGGCAAGAGGCAGAGGGGAGCCGAGGAAATTTCTTCTCTCAACTGCCAGGTTATTTACTTTCCAGCGGCCAAACTCCCTGAAAAGCAAATTTATTTATTTTTATTTATGATTGTCAAGTTCACCTGGTAGGTTAGCTGGGGTCTCTACATTTCTTACAGCACTCCTTACTTATAATACTATGTCTCAGGTTATGAGTAAGAGAAGCAATATTTATCCATTTATTTAATTTAGAGTTCATATTCTAAATCCAGTCATGGAGAGGAAAATATGAACCACTTAAACAGTTCTCACTGATTCCCCACCACCCCCAAGCTGCAAAATAAAATAAATAAATAAATAAATAATTTCACTATGCATAGAATTTGAATGTGAAGTTGTTAAAAAGGAAAAACTAAAGTAACTTTTTTTTCCATTTTCTAAGGGAAGTTGAAAAAAGCGAATGAATTTATTTTCATCACTCTAATGATTCCTTGGTCTATTAAGATTAGAGTGAAAATGTAAAAACTCAAGGATATTCCGAAGCTGTAGAAGAATGTTAAAAACCTGATCAAATGAGAAACTGTTCTTGTTTGTTTGGTGGCTTTTTTTTTTTTCAATAATTATGGTGGACAACATACTTTGAAACCCAAATTCAACTTGAATAGCAATTTCTCAAACTGCAGAATGACTTTTAAGGGATGTGCCAAATTTTTTTTTAAAAAATGGCAGGAATGATTATAAAACAGTTTTAACACATTTGTCATTTTCTGAAATCAGTCAATAAAACAAATTCCTCCCAAAAGCATTCAATTCATAGTTTACTATTTACTGTCTATTATTATCAGAAATCTTGCTAATAATATAGATGAGTGTAGGAAAACCTCTAACCTCAAAGGCTCAGAAATGATACTAAGTGAGATAAAATGAGGTGAATTCCTTGCAATTCAGATACTCTAAAATATTTTTATGTGTATCTAGCCAATGTTGCTCAATGATTGAGCATCAACCTATGAACCAGGAGGTCACTGTTCTATTCCTGGTCAGAGCACATGCCCCGGTTGTGGGCTCAATCTCCAGTAGGGGGCGTGCAGGAGGCAACCGAACAATGATTCTCTCTCACTCATCATTGATACTTCTATATCTCTCTCCCTCTCTCTTTTTCTCTGAAATCAATCAAAATATATTTTTTAAAAGTTTAAAAAAAGAAATCTTTTCATGTAGAGCTATCAAGATTAGGGGGTTATGAGATAGTTTATTCAATTACTTTCTAGCAAGATAATCATTCCAGCACATCATAACTGAGGCAGAGCATTTTGACCTTGGGGTAACGTGAGAGTCAAGAAGGACCCAAGGACTGTGCAGACATTGCAATCTTGGGGTGCAAATCTTTTATTTCCTGAAGATTCTGATTCATGTGAGTTGCAGCTAGACCAGGCACTCATTATATTTTGGGGGAAAGAAAGCAGAGGGGTGCTGAGTTGAAAACACGATGCAAGGTGTGGTTATCATGAGGAGAGAGCATTTTCCTTGCATCCGGGGGACCCCCTGCAGCAGACGCATTATGCTGATGGCAAATAAAAGCACCATTGTATCCAAATAATGCTACCTGAAGCTCTCACAGAACATAAATGCCTCCCCATCATAACGCTGGGCATCTAGGACGAAATAGGCACCATCATTAGAGTTTAATGCAACTTGGCCCTTTCAGAGGCGCCGCCATTCTGTACAGCACACAAATGGGCCGTAACCAGCTCAGCCAGAACATTACTTGGAAAATGTTTTTGTTGGCACCGAGGAGCCTCTATTAGTTGATTAGGGTTGTGTGTTTGCTGCTCAAAATGCTGACCTGCGGGCATCTGCTCTCCTGTGTGTCCACATAATGTGTGCTTTCCTACCACAGTAGGTGTTCTCATTTATCCTGACCCCGCTCCTTGCAAAGCCTGAGAAACAAGAATGATACCAACACATTCTCATTCAATAATGCTTATGTCATTGCCACATTGCTGTTGAGCTATTTAAAAGTATATATATATATATATATATATATATATATATATATATATATACTTTTTTTATTGATTTTTTACAGAGAGAAAGAGAGACGGATAGAGAGTTAGAAACATTGATGAGAGACAAACATCCATCAGCTGCCTCCTGCACACTCCCCGCTAGGGATGTGCACGCAACCAAGGTACATGCCCTTGACTGGAATCGAACCTGGGAACCTTCAGTCTGCAGGCCAATGCTCTATCCACTGAGCCAAACCAGTCAGGGCTGTTGAGCTATTTTTTATTAGTATTTAAGTTCTATGTAAATGTGTAAATGGATTTAAAATATACTCACTACTATGATTTCTTTAAAATGACACATGTAGAATTGGTCCCCCCAAATACAGAAGCTATGACAGTTGATATTAGGTATTTTGGACTCAATAGCAAAGGAAAAGCAACATAAAAATTAGATGATGTAGTACGGCCAGTGTGGCTCAGTGCTTGAGAGTCAACCTATGAACCAGGAGTTCATGGTTCCATTCCCGGTCAGGGCAAATGCCCAGGTTGTTGGATCGATCCCCAGTGTGGGGCAGGCAGGATGCAGCTGATCGATGATTCTCTCTCATCATTGATATTTCTATCTCTCTTTCCCTCTCCCTTTTCTCTGAAATCAATAGAAATATATATTTTTAATAGTTGGCTGATGTAGTAGCTCAAATATCTTTATTTGTTCATTTACACCAAATAAAGTGCTTTGTCTAAGCCCTAAGGGCTGTTATTACATTACCTTCCACAGTACTACACTGGCTGGTTCATAATTTCAATTCTATCAATATTCATTGAAATTTTCAGGCACTACAGCATATTAAACCAAATGTAACACCTGAGCACTAATCCACTGCTAACAAACCCAGCATAAAAATCATAAATGGACTCACCAATCTTCAGTGGCAATACCCTTCTAATTATATCTGTAAAATCATACCCATCTTAAGAAACGCCTCTAATAATCAATATTTTGGCTCCCTGATTATGTTATGTGTAACGACTAGATGCAAAATTAGCTCCTTTGGCCAAAACTGGTTTGGCTCAGTGGATAGAGCATCGGCTTGTGGACTGAAAGGTCCCAGGTTCGATTCCAGTCAAGGGCATGTACCTTGGTTGCGGGCACATCTCTGGTGGGGGGTGTGCAGGAGGCAGCTGGTCAATGTTTCTCTCTCATTGATGCTTCTAGCTCTCTGTCCCTCTTTCTCTCCCTTCCTCAGTGTAAAAAATCAATAAAATATATATATTTTTTTAAATTAGCTCCTTTGACATCCTTTTGGCGTAGCTCCCGCATCTCACAAGCAATGCCCTCTTCCATTTGGACCAGAAAAGGGAAAAGTTCCCAACCACCTTGAGGTCAGGGCCCTGAAGCCAGCGCTGCTGAAGCAGCAGAATGCCAACCAGTTGGCAGGCCACAATAGCCAGTGTCTTTCGTGGCCTGACTGGAGACAGTGATGCCACATTTTTTATCACTTCCAGTCCTCGCGGGGGATTTCAAGCTTGGAAGGTCTTTGGGGTGAGGCTGGGAATTTCGCAGCATAGATCTATGCACATAAAGCACAATGGTGAACAAGAGTTATGTACAACGTTCACACGCCGAATTTCTGGGAAGCTCCATTGATGACTGGGGTTTTTGGAAGGCACTCTCAGAATCTGAGATGAGATGACTCAGATTAGCATGATGGCACCAAACAGCTCCTCCCTGGAGAGCAGAAAGAATGCCTTGTAGCTATTTTGTAGCTATTAAAATTTATTTCAGAGCGATAGGGAGAGGGAAAAAGAGAGAGAATCATGGATTGGCTGCCTCCTGCACGCCTCCTCCTGGGTTCAAGCCTGCAACTGGGCATGTGCCCTGACCAAGAATTGAACCCCAATCTCCTGGTTGTAAATTGATGCTCAATCAGTGAGCCACACCATCCAGTCCAGGCACTATGTTATCTGGACTACAGAATGAAATAAAATAAAATGATGGAGGGATTAGAGATAATTTTTTTAAAAATTGGTCTATTGGCCCTAACCGGTTTGGATCAGTGGATAGAGTGTTGGCCTATAAGGGTCCCAGGTTTGATTCTGGACAAGGGCATGTGCCTTGGTTATGGGCACATTCCCAGTAGGGGGTGTGCAGAAGGCAGCTGATCTATGTTTCTCTCTCATTGATGTTTCTAACTCTCTATCCCTCTCCCTTCTTCTCTGTAAAAATCAATAAAATATATATATTTTTAAAAAGATCAAGAATGGTCTGGTGTGGCTAGTGTTATATCCTTCTAGATCCCAAAGTATTTTTAGGTCGATAACTTAATGGCTGAAAGTTATTTAATTTTATCTTACATCATGTTAAATCATATTCTGTAGTATAACAGATAGTGTCTTATTTAAATTTTTATAAAAATAATGCAGAATTCAATTATCATAGTCACTGCCATTATCCCCAAAGGTAATTAATTTAATAGTATATAAAGGTGCCACATGTTTGTATGATCACAGATATAAATAATATAGTAATTCATATTATCCATGTTTGAATTAAACCACTTGTTTGAGCAGATGCTAGCAAAAGTGTTGATGTAAAAATATGCATGCATGCTATCAATGTATGACCTTGTATGTTGAAGAGAGAGGGGAGTTATGTAACAAGAAAACTCATTTCCTTCTAAATTTTGGAAGTACAGTTTAACATCTGTTAGCACTTATCACAATTGCTCATCAATCACATACATATAATTATACAGATTTGGTAATTATTGATCAGCATAGAGAAGACACACTGAGCTAAAATGAAATACCCACTCTGGTTCTCTCCATAAAAAAAATAAACAAATATAAGGTTTCCATTTTTCACATTTCTAATTTCAAAAGCAATTCTTTATCTTGGCTAGTAAGTGGAAAATATTTCAATATTTTGAGAGAGATAATGCTAGTTTTACAAAAGACAATGGGCATATTTCCATATGTCTCTTGGCCTTCCTCTGTCTTCTTTCAAAAAGTATCTATTTACGTTTATTTCCCATTTTTTGATTGGGTTGTTTATCTTCCTTTTGTTCAGTTGTATGAGTTCCCTATA